AGACTGGGAGTTCTAGTTCTGCTTTAGCCCTGAAAACTAGCTGGGTGGACTTTGAGCCAGTCCCTTTCCCACAGCCCTAAGGAAGGCATCAATGGCCAATCACGTCTGGAAATGATTAGAAACGGACGTGGAGTTTGGTCCACGATTGAATCTCAACGGTTTCTCTTCTCTTCGTGCAGACAAGGCTGCCCCTTTGGTGGGGTCTCCTGCTTTCCCACCCCAAGGTCTCCAGACGAGTGTCGCCGGCTCAGAACTTGTAGCGAGTGCCTCGCCCAGCATCCTCGCGCCATGGCCCACAGCCTGGGTATTCCCGTAAGTAGCAGCACTTAGAGACAGTACTCAGATAGACAGGGGATCACAAATCGTCTGATCCTGCACTCACTTGGCAAGGAGAAGTAAGAGAGGTGGGGTTATAATGGCAGCATGGAGGCCTAATGTGACCGGCCTGTAAAGAGAGATTTTTTGCGGGGGAGGGGGGGGAATATAGGCAGCGGAGAATAGCTGGCTGGAGAAATCTGGGAGTTGAAGTCCACACATGCTTCCTGGGGAACTCTGGGAGTTGAAGTCCCCATATGCTTCCTGGGAATTCTGGGAGTTGGTCCACACATGCTGGCTGGGGAATTCTGGGAGTTGAAGTCCCCATATGCTTCCTGGGGAACTCTGGGAGTTGAACTATGCATATGCTGGCTGGGGAATTCTGGGAGTTGAAGTCCACACATGCTGGCTGGGGAATTCTGGGAGTTGAAGTCCCCATATGCTTCCTGGGAATTCTGGGAGTTGGTCCACACATGCTGGCTGGGGAACTCTGGGAGTTGAACTATGCATATGCTGGCTGGGGAATTCTGGGAGTTGAAGTCCACACATGCTGGCTGGGGAATTCTGGGAGGGTTGAAGTCCCCATATGCTTCCTGGGAATTCTGGGAGTTGAAGTCTACAAATCTTAAATTTGCCATCTTTGAGAAACACAGATGTACGTATTGTACGTAGGCAGGGTTTCTTTATGAAGAACCTCCAATTACGTCCATGCAGTTCTAGTAGAATCATTTTTTCCAAGCCAGGAAAGCATTTGGTAGTTTTGGCAAACCAACTAGGCCACGCCCACCATGGCCACGCCCACCCGGCAACCGGGCAGAGAACCCGTTGCTAAAAAAAAATTTTTTTGAAGCCCACACCCCCGATTAGAACACGTGGCTGGATTTGCAGCCGCCCGGTTTTGCGACTGCTCTCTGCTTCCCCCAGCCTTTACCGCAGTGCAAATGGTGCACCAACTGCCCCGAGGGCGCATGCATCGGCAGCACCGGCAGCTGCACGTCGGAGAACGACTGCCGTATCAACCAGCGGGAGATCTTCGTGGCCAGCAACTGCTCGGAGATCTCGTGCGAGGCCTCCGACTGCGCCAAGTGCACGGCGTCGGGGAAGTGCATGTGGACGAGGCAGTTCAAGCGGACCGGTGAGGGGCTGGACCTGTGATTGGGGGTAGGGCGGGAGAGACGAGGGGACGAGGGAGGAGAGAAGTGCGGGGAGGGGAAGGGCTGCAGGGTGAGGAGCAGGGGTGAGGCTGCTGGGGGGGTTCACAGGGGTTCGGGAGAGCCCCCAGCTAAGATTCTGTGCAGTTCAGAGAACACCCCCCCCCCAAAATCCCACTCCTGGCTGACCCCGCCCACCCCGGAGCCCCCACACGGCCCATTTGGGATGCAGGTAAGTGCAAAGCCCGCCCAGAGGCCACTTTGTAGGTTGTCTTGAGTCCCCAGGCTTGGTTGAACCTTGCTGGGTTGTGCAGCCTTCCCAGGTGCCGTGGGGCGAGATGAGTACGGGCAGGGGTGGCGCTGGTGCGGGGTTTGCAGGGGTTCGGGAAAGCCGCTAGCTACGATTCTGCGCAATTTGGGGAACTCCCACATCCCACTCTGGGCTGGCCCCGCCCCTCTCAGGAGTCCCCCTGTGGCCCTATTTTGGATGCAGGTAAGTGCAAATCGCTCGGGGAGGGTGAAAAACGGGCCTCCGTAGTCCAGGAAGGCTGTCTTCACCCCCACTGGAGGCCTCAGGAGCCCAGGCAGGGCAAAAACACCCCCCCCCGCCATGGTGCAGGAAGCCGACTAGGCCACGCCCACCATGGCCACACCCACCATGTCCACGCCCACCCAGCACCCGGGCAGAGAAGGGGACAAGTAACGGGAGCTCACTCCGTTATGCAGCGCTAGGGATTCGAACTGCCGAGCTTTCTGTTCAGCAAGCTCAAGCGTCTTAGCCACCGAGCCACTGCGTCCCTGATCATTGGGCTAATGTGGCTAATGACTGTCAAATTAACCACAGAGTTGGTGAAGGGTGGCATGGCTTGGAAGACCAGGAGAGACTCTGTCCAAGAAGCTTTGCTTCCTGGAGAGCATCTAGAAATCAGCCCTCTGGATGTCCAAGTTCTCACGAGCTTCTGTTCCTTTGAGAAGTTTATGGAGAAGACACATCCATTTCTCCCAAACTGAGTCTTCCTCTTCTTCCATTCTCAGTCTCCTCCCGCTGAAGGAGGAGACTGAATATGGTGGACCACCACGCTTGTCTCCTAGTAGGTATCGATTGGGCAATGAAGGGGAACAATCCTGGCCTTGAAAGCTCCTAATCTTCACCCTTCTTCTCCTCCCAATGCTTAGGGGAGACCCGCCGCATCCTCAGCGTACAGCCCACCTACGACTGGACGTGCTTCAGCCACTCGCTCCTCAACGTTTCCCCGATGCCCGTGGAGTCCTCTCCCCCGCTGGCCTGCCCCACACCCTGCCACAACCACAGCACATGTGGAGACTGCCTCAACTCCAAGGGGGCAGATGGGGGTTGGCAGCAGTGCGTCTGGAGCATCAGCCTGCAGCAGGTAAATTATTTGGGGCAGTCAGCGTACGTCGATTCTGACGGGGAGACTCTTAATTGTGAGGACCCAAAGGGGTGTGGCACTAAGACAACACAGTCAGATAATCAGTAGGAGTCCCTTTATTAGCTCCAACTTTGCCCCCAATGTCCTGGTTACCTTCTGGGCTGGAGAAAAACTCCCCCAGGAACAGCCTTTGGCTGCAGAGAATCAAGTCCAAAACGTGGTCAACAAAAACTGTAACTGTAAGTCCAATCAAGGCAAGATGAAGTCATTAGTCCAACAGGGCAGGGGAAGGAATTCCAGACGTGAAGGCATGGAGGTAATTCAACACGGTTGGGAGGATGCCAGTAAGGCAGATAACCAAAGTCATCATAAGATAAACTCACATTTGTTCCCAGCAGAGGCCGGTCTCAGCTTGCATCTCTTTTAAACTCTCTTCCCAGCTGTAGCTAATGAAGGGAATCAGGGCCCTTTCCTCCCCCGTAAGCCACACAACCCACGTTGCTCCCTCAGTTGTTTGGCTTCCTCCTCGGATTCAGACTCCGAGAGGAGCATGACACTAATGCAGGTGTTTCTAAATTTGGCCACCAGAAGATACCATTTTTATTGGTATCCAAAACCAGAAGGGAGGGAGGGAGGGAAGGAAGGAAAGAAGAATGGAAGGGGAAAAGGATAGAGAAGGAAAAGGGAGGGAGGGAAGGAAGGAAAGAATAGAAGGGGAGGGTGAGAGGATAGAGAAGGAAGAAGGAAAAGAAAGGGAGGGAAGGAAGGAAGGAGAAAGGGAGGAAGGGGAAGAGGA